TCCCTTATTTAGAATTATTATTTTGTGATTTAGATTTATTCTTTACACATGGACGACACACTACATAAATTTAATTTCACCCACGTAAATCTCATTCGAGATATATCCAAAATACTTAGATGAGATTCATAGCATTTTTCAATACTTAATTGTGATTCAGATTCTAGTGCTCAACTTGCTAGAGTTCGGCACTCTAGCACTAGAATATGGCTGAGACAGTTCCTCCTTGGGAATGTTTTGTGACTTCAAGAGTACTGCTGCTCAAGGGAATTTTGTCTTCTCATGGAACCCAAGGTCAGCAAACACAGTGGCTCACTGGGGGCCGATGCTTCCCTCCATGATCAGCTCCATCTTCTCTAGCAATTTTGTTTGGGGATTGTTAGTTTTGCTCTGTTTTGTTCTTGTAATTTCTCTATTCAAACTAACAAACAGAAAAACTTGCTAGAGTTAAATTTCCATCCCACAAAAATTCAGAGCAGATGAGAATTTCTACTCATATAACAGCCATAGGGTCACTAGATTTTAAGTTGTGTTTGGATCAAAAATTTAAACAAAAAAATAAAATAAAATTTATGAAATCAAAAATAAAAAGAAAAAAAAAAAGAGGAAACTTTTCGCTACTAAAATATTTGGTCCTTAAAAAGTAATTTTATTTATAAAATTTATCCTGAAAATCTAAATTTATTGTAGTATCTATTTATATATAAGAATAATTTATGTTGCAATTACTGATTAATTGTACTTCATTATATTCCGTTTGTAGTCCAAAAACTCACTATATATATGTGTGTGTATCACTATATATATAAATACATGCCTACCTAGCTCATCAGCTCCATCCCCAATCATATTTTATTTTGACACCAAATGGAGCAAACAAACACTTTTCTCAATTGGCTACTAAATACATGTATACTTTGTTTCATTTTCTTTTTCATGAACTCTCTTGGATTGATTGCCACTCCCTTGGGCACCCCTAGTTTCATCCCCACAAATGAGACAGACCATCAGGCCCTGCTTGCAATCAAGGATCTTATACCTGTAGATCCTCTTGGTGCCTTAAGCTCATGGAACCACTCTGTCAACTTCTGCCATTGGCAAGGGGTCACATGTAGTCATCAACATCCGCATGTCATTGTCCTAAACCTGTCATCTCTAGGATTAGCGGGTTCTGTATCGCTTCACATTGGAACCTCACCTCCCTTCGGAGTATTGATCTCCATAACAACAATTTTCATAGCAACGTCCCCCCAGAAATTGGCAAGTTGTTTCGTTTGCAATATCTTGGGCTGTTTAATAACTCTTTCCAAGGTGAATTTCCCACAAATTTGACTCATTGCTCAAACACGAGAGTCATCAATATGATTAATAACTATCTTGAGGGTAAAATTCCTATGGAGTTGGGTTCTTTGCCTAATCTCTTGGAATTGAATTTTGCTAAAAATTATCTCTTTGGAACTATCCCACTCTCACTTGGAAACCTTTCAACTCTTCATAAACTTTCTCTATCGCACAATAATCTAGTGGGAAACATTCCCTCCCAACTTGCTCAGCTTTCAAACTTGGAGCATCTTTCGTTGTCTTTTAACAATTTGTCAGGTATGGTTCCTACTTTGCTTTATAACATATCATCCATCACTTTCGTTATCTGGAAGCATACCTCCTGGGATTGGAAACCTTGTAAAAATTTGAACATGCTCATAGGTAGTATTCCCAATCTTAAAATTGATACATAATCACAAATCAACATGTAGGGGATTTCTAGATTTTTCAATTGGTATCAGAGTGGGTCGTTCTATTTTTTTTTTTTAAATATTCTTTTAGAATGAGATCTTGTTTGATTTGTGATAATGGATTCAATTCGTGAGGGAAATTCTATGGTTCGACCACCCCTACTTGACAGATCCAATTATTCTTTTTAGAAAGCTCGGATGAGATCGTTTTTGAAATCTATAGATGAAAAAGTTTGGCAATCTGTCATGAATGGGTGGACCGAACCAACAATTACCGTTGATGGAGTAACTTTCCCCAAATCAATTAAAAAGTGGGACAACTCTGATTACCAAAATAGTAGCTGGAATAGTAAAGCTATCAATTCTCTTTTTTGCGCTGTCACACCTGAAGAGTTTAGTCGTATTTGCAATTGTAAAGTCGCAAAAGAGGCTTGGGATATCTTACAAACTATTCATGAGGGCACTCCTTTTGTTAAACGCTCAAAACTTCAAAGGCTCACTCTAGTTTTGAAAACCTTTCAATGAAAGATAGTGAAACCTTTGATGAATTTTATGCGAAGTTGAGTGACATTGTAAATTCCAGCTTCAATTTAGGTGAAAAAATACCAGAATCCAAAGTTATGGGAAAAATTTTGAGATCCTTGCCCGATCGGTTCCAACCAAAAGTTACGGCTATTGAGGATGCTCAAGATGTTGACTGGAAATCTCCAACCTTATGAGGCACATAGGAATTTCAAAAAAGAAACAAAAAGATATTCCTTTTAGTAGTGCTCATAGAGTTGGAGAGGATTCTGATAAGGATTGTGAGTTAGATTCCAAGATTACGACTGCTTTTGTTAAACAATTAAAAAATCTTTTTTGAAAAAGAATCCTAATCTTTTGGAATCTACTCATACTTATAAATCTAAAGGCAAAGATAAACTCAAAATTAATTCTGTAGCCAAGAAGGAGAAAGGAAAGATACAAGGGAACTCTGAAAGACTCCAATGCTATGAATGCCAAGGATTTGGCCACTTTGCTCAAGAATGCCCCACTTGGTTGAGGAAGAAGAAAGCCCTCGCTATCACTTGGGATGATGAATCAGAATCTGATAAAGATGAAAGTGACAATGAAGATCAAGGTGAAGAGGGACATAAACAATTCCTTGCTTTCATGGTGGCTTCTGAAACTGAAGGACGAACAGAGTATCCGAAGAGCCCGGTTGAGAATGCCACTGATGAGGAATCCTTGGGAAGTGATGATGAAGAGCTTGAGCAAGCTTATGAAAAGTTGTATAAGGAATCTCTTAAGTTATCCAAATTGAATGACAAACTCACTATGAAACTCAAAGCATGTGAAAGTGAGAATGTCAAACTAAAGGAGGAGATTTCCGAGGCTAGGATTGATGCTAGCAAGATAGCTAATGATCGACAAGCTCTTTGTGCAAAACTCTTGACTTGTGAGACAGAGAGAAATGAGCTACAGCAAATCTATGCAACATATGAAGAAAAAATTGAAACTCTCGAGATGTCTCAAGTTGCTTTGGAAGAACTAATGATCTAGAAAGAGGAAGAAATCAAGTGTGCCATGGTTATCATTGGTCTTTGGAACAAAGGATCAAAGACTTTGAACAATATCATTGGGTCTCAACAAATTTGTTCTAACAAGAGCGGCATTGGATTTGGTGGTAAGAAAGAGCAAAAACAGAGTGCATCTACATCTCATGATACAAGAACTCAAGGAAAGGGGGAACAAAAAATTCAATATAAGGATGGACTTCTCAAACTTCCTAGAGTTGGTAAGGTAAAAGAAAAGAAGGTACACCCTGTACACCCGATTTTTATTTGTCATCATTGTGGTATGCACGGTCATATTCGCCCTTATTGTTATAAGTTGCATGGGAGAGTGTATTTGCCTAGACCTAGAAATAAGAAGTTGGAAACCATGTCGAGACAGGTCCCTATTGAAAGAGAAGGGAACCACAATGTCAAGACACCACCCAAGAACCGCAATGCTCACAACTTTGTTCGTACTAAAGCAGTTTGGGTGAGAAAACTTGACTTGTGTTAATTTTTGTTTTTGGGTTTCTGTGTGTTTTTTTTTTTTTTGTCATTACATGTTTGCTTGTTCGTTTTTTGTCTTGCTTTGGTTAAAGAAAAAAAAATTTAAAAAAAAAAAAAACCCAAAAAGATTTTCTTATTATGGTTTTGCAAGCTTGAAATTTTTGAGTGATCCTTGGTGCATATTGGAATTGATAAGAATATCCATTACATGTTAATATATGTGTGCTTTCTGTGGTCATTACTCGTTTTGGAGTGTGTGTTTTTTGATTAATATGTCTCATTCTGTACACACTCTTGGATTAGCAAATTTTGGAGTCTTCCGCTTTAGTGATTATTTTTTCTCTATGGACTTCTATCATTGATCTTTTGCATTTCTAGAGGAATTGACCTATACTAGCACATCATGGGTGATGTTGAGTCTTTTAACCACCTTCCATCTTTTTGCACCTCCACGGCTTTCCCCTTAATTCTTTGCAGTCTAGCCATGAGGAAAAGGCTACCTCAGAGTCACCAACCAGGCCATCCTTATTATATCCATGCTTCTCTGGTTCGGTTTCCATACTCTTGAGCGTGTCAGCCGCCAATGATTGTGCAAAAGAAAAAGAAAAAGAAAAAGAAAAAGAAAAAATATGCAAAAGAAAGAAAAAAAGTGCAAAAGAAAGAAAGAAAAAAAAAAGAAGATTCATTGATTGAGGGGGGAGCCTCTGCCTTTACTCACCAAATACCCCTTGATTCCTAGTGGTTTGACTTTCCTTAGGTGTGCTTAGATTCTCTTGTCGGAGGTCCAACTTTCAGATCACTACTAGGATTGAATCTAGTGTTTGTCGAACTCCAAGAGTCACACACACACTTTTATCATGGGATCTATGCTTTTCACATAATGTATCACTTTCTTTCACGAGGAATCTTCTACAGACTGTGCACATTGTGTTTACTAGTAATTGTGCTTCTTGGATAATCTTGTGTGTTTTAAGGTACAAATCTGAGATTTCTTGCTTGCTCCACCATATTATTTTTGTCGTTTTCTTCTTGTTCACTGTTTACAGTATTTGTGGTTGCTTTTAGTGAGAGGGAGTTTGGTTCATCTTAACTTGGGTTGGTTTATGATCTTGCTTTTGTTGTTTGAGAGTTGTTTTTCATGAGTCTTAGTTTTCATCTATTGATGTTTTCCATCTCATGTTTCAAGATAATCGTGTCATATGTCTATTCTTTTTCATATACTCTTGTGGGACTAATAGTTGCTTTGGAGATTGTGGCACTAATAACTATTTTGCAGATCAAGACCTTGAGAAAGAAGTTGGCTTTTGTTGGCTGTAATGGGTTGGGGTGTTTAGGATTTTATTTGTTAGGTGTGTTTTGTTACGGCATTGCCAAAGGGGGAGATTGTTAGGTTTTATTTTTGGCAACCCCGTTTGACAAAACTCTTTTCAGTTGTATTTGTTTTCGCACTTTTATTTCAGTAAGGCTATGAGTTTATTAGATGCGAATCCAACCCGAATTGTGCCGTTCAGAGAAGTTTGTGATGTTAATACTTTCAAGATTGCCACTTCGCTGATTATGACGGGGGTCGAGCTGCCCAGTCAGCTCGCGGCCGAAGCAAAATGCAAAAATACATTCAATTTTGGTCTCTCCGCTCGAGTGGGGAAAGGGACGCTCGAGCGGGGTTTACAAGCTCACAGCATCTCTGTTATGCCTGAAAAAGTACTGGATGGTGTGATTCGACGCTCGAGCGTCGAAACTGACGCTCGAGCGTGAAGCATATATGAATTGCAGAATATGAAGTCTCCGCTCGAGCGGGAAGTCCCACGCTCGAGCGGACCGCGCGAACACAGTTTTCGGATTTCGATAAGGATTTGGTTTTCTGAAGAATCTAGGATTATTTTTGGTTTTCTATAAATGCTTGGTTTTCTTCCAAAGCTAAGTGTACTTCTCTAGATCTTCATTTTGGGTTCTAAGGTTTATATCTGGAAATATTTTGCTAGTTTTCTTTGATGTTTTATTGAGTATTCAACTCATGGTTTAAAGAGAGTACATCAAAGGTTTTGTTTGTTCTACAAAAGAGAGAGTTGTTCTTCAGTGGATTCTGAAGAATTTGAGCCTGAAGGTTTGGTGGATTCCAGGGTGGCTCATCGTAAAGACAATTCTGAGGTGAAGACAGGTTGGAAGAGGCACATAGAGGTTGGTTCAATTAGGCGTGGATTCGCTAGGTAATTGAGAGTATACCTGTGTAATTCCTTTAAATTTTCTTAGTGGATTGTTTTGTGGCTGTTGCCCGTGGTTTTTTTATCACAGTTGGAGGTGTCCAACTGTGATTTTTTCACGTAAAATCGTTGTGTCTGTGTCTTGATTGTTTGATTGGAATTGTTATATTCTGCTTAAAATTGATACATAATAACAAATCAACATCTAGGAGGTTTCTAGATTTTTGAGTATTAATTTGTTTCTCTTAGTTTTGGATATTGGAGATCTCATAGATACACGATAGTATGGAAGAAATCCACAATTCTTGAACCGTATAATGTATTTTAGTTTACATAGTATTTAAGCTTGCGTGCGTGCAGCTTTCCTTTTTTTCTGGTTCTACTCTTTTTCTTTATTTTTTTTTAGTTTGCATATTCAATAGACTGTTGTCATATATGATTTACATATTTTTCCTGTTAAGAATAGAAATTTGACATCTTGCATTCTTCTTTGGGGTCATAGATATTTGATACTGGATCACTTGAAGGCCCGTTCGGATCATTTCAAGTTTGTAATGTACAAATTTATGGAGACTTTGTTGTTCATATCGGTTCGTTTACTGGGGAAACAAGCAAGTTCTCTGTAGGTGATAAAGTGATTTGTAAGGTAACTTCCCTTTTATCATCTGTCCTTGTATGTGTACATGAGTGCAAGCTACATCTGCTTTGTATTTCTTCGTAACTATAAGTAATTTATGACTTGAGCAGGTTGACTATGATAGACGTAAGCTCATTGCTCCTAACCATACCTGTATGCACATGTTGAATTTTGCGCTCAGGGTAATTTCCAAAATGATGCTGTTCTGAGCTTCTAATGTTGATGCTTTCTTATCTGGTTTGCTTTTGTTCTCTTAATGTTCTGTAACATGACTGCAGGAAGTACTTGGAAATCATGTTGACCAGAAGGGATCCATTGTTCTTCCTGAGAAATTACGATTTGATTTCTCTCATGGTAAGCTTTATGCTTGTTTCAATTAATTTTGCATATAAAATCATTTTTGAATGCTACTGAAGCTTGAATAGGCAAGCCTGTGAAACCTGACAAGTTGAGAAAAATTGCGTCCATTGTGAATGAGCAAATCAAAGCTGAGCTGGATGTATTTTCAAAGGAGGCCACTCTGATCGATGCGAAGCGTATAAATGGTTTATGAGCTGTATTTGGAGAAGTAAGCTACTTCATTCTTCTATCATTGGAGTTTGTTCAGGCATATGATCAATCTGTGGAATGTACTTGGTTTACTGGCCGCCTTCAATTTCTTATTTCTGTTTTTGATATAGGTCTATCCTGATCCTGTTAGGGTTGTATCAATTGGCCGAGAAGTGGAGGACCGCCTTGCTGATCCAGAAAATGACGAGTGGTTATCAATTTCCGCTGAGTTGTGTGGAGGTAGCATCTCCTTGTAATTCCTGGTGCCACTTCTGGGAGTCCTATTAAGTATTGAGGTTTAGTGTGTTGATTTTTTTAGGGACCCATTTATCAAATACACGGGAGGCTAAGGTGTTTGCTCTGTTGTTTGAGGAGGGAATTGCCAAGGGAATTCGTAGAGTAACTGCTGTTACAACAGACTGTGCTTCTAAGGCCTTGGAACTAGCATTGTCAATTGAGCAGGAAGTATTAGATGAGGCATCAAAAACAGAAGGAAGCTCGCTGGAACAGGTTGTCACTTCTTTTTATTATTTTTACCAGATTCAGATTCAGATACAATGTCTCTTTCTGTGAATTAATATATGATAAACTGAACTGCTTTTTCAAATTCATTATTCATGTTTGACCGTGGCTTTTGTGTGATAGTTTGAGTTACATTTTCTTCTTCCTGAAGCAAGGGTATTGCTTAATTCATTATTCATGTGTGACCCTGCCTTCCTCTACCGGCTTTTCTACCCTTTTTAACTTGCATTAATCTCTTTCTTGCCAGGTCTAAAATAGTTTTTCTGTTTATTTCATTCTTTCTACTTCTTAGGGACCAGTCTTTATACATTCCTTGATGTAGGCATTGCATCAACATGCCCCCTATGGGCCCTACCTTTCTACTCAACCATATCAGCATTCTTCTGTTGATTACTTGTAAGGATGTTTCTAAGCAATTGGTGTTATGATCCTGAGCCATATCCTGCTTGCATGCCTTAAATACATTTCCCATCATTGGTTTGATGCTATGTAAGAACAGCATGTATGGCTCCAGTTTTGCTGTGACCGTGGCTTTTGTGTGATAGTTTGAGTTACATTTTCTTCTTCCTGAAGCAAGGGTATTGCTTAATTCATTATTCATGTGTGACCCTGCCTTCCTCTACCAGCTTTTCTACCCTTTTTAACTTGCATTAATCTCTTTTTTGCCAGGTCTAAAATAGTTTTTCTGTTTATTTCATTCTTTCTACTTCTTAGGGACCAGCATGTATGGCTCCAGTTTTGCTGCTATTCTGCGTGCAACATCATGTTCTGTTTAGCTTCTATTGTGATTATTGGCACTACTTATAAAAAATGATTGTCCCAAAATGGTTGCACTGCTTGTCCAAAATGGTTGCCCTGTTGCATTTAACGGCCACAGTTAGTTAGATTCATGACCGAATCTGCACCTGGGTGCTCCTTTGTCCCTGGCCCATCTCTCATTGCTGGGCAACTGAGCGCTTTCTTATTAGGAGCTCCTGCATTGGAGGGGTTTGTTCAGTGAAAATTTTCTGATTACTAGTGAAAAGTTTGAAAGAGAATTACAGTAAACTGATTTTTCAGTTTTAAGTAATTCTGTTAAGGGTAAATTACACTTGCCTCCCCCGAGGGTTGGAGAAAATACAAGAAGCTCCACAGTTTTGGTAGGGTTCCCTCAAGATTTTAATTCACATAACACTTAGGCCCTCTTTTATCAATAATTTGTTAGTTATATTATATGGATGGAAAAATGATGATGTCATCTGATTTATACTGAACAGTCTATTTTTTCTTATTTATTCTTTTGTTTTCACACCATTTGCATTAGTTACATTCCATTCAAACTTGATAAAAAGGAGGTCGATGTAATTATGCCAAATCTATGAAGCTTGCATTTTCTCCAAACTTAAGGGAGGTCAATGTACTTTATCCTTCTGTCAATTAAACAAAATGTGCAGTTCTATCAGCCTCGTATGTGTGTTTTTGTGTACTCTGTTTATGATCTCCTGCCATTTTTCAAAAGAACCTTAAGATTGAATTGACAGAATTTCTCGCACATTCTGTGAAAGAATAAGGTCATCCGTCATAAAAATGAATTTTTTAGTGCAGTTTCTTGTCTATAATTATCACGTGCTCATCATCGGCAACTTTATATTTGAACTAGAGGATATTATTGCTCATGAATGAAACATATGCTATTATGCGATGTTATTGTGGTTTGCTCTTTTATTATTTCATGTATTGTAGCTGAATGAGGTCTTTGCTAAATTAACTTTTGGGAATGTCTCCTGAAATGAAGGGAATCCACTCCTTGCCAGGATTATGTAATTTTCATAAATACCAGAATCTTTATAATCTTTTTGCTGCTAGCACATTGGTTAGATACTTCCAATGTATTGGCTAGCACAAGTATTTTGAGAATGGTTCAGATACTTCCAACTTCCCTGAAATATGCATCACCCAAGGAAGTATCGTCATTATATTGTTCACCACTGCTTTGATTAAGAAGATGATTCTGCTTTATCTGATATATCAGTTTGCTGATTTCCCTTTCCTCTTCCCAGAAAGTAACTTCTTTAAATGGCCGCGTGGAATCAACAACTATTCGAGCAGCCAAGAAAGCTGTTAGAATTTACCATCACCTACCACCAATTTACCATCACCTACCACCACCTACTCCTCACCTACTCCTCACCTACTACACTCACCCTCTCCTATATAATGAGTCACTCACCATTTGTAATAGATACATCAATCTACATCAATCAATAATATTACAATTTTAACATGGTATCAGAGCTATAAGATTTAGGCCTGTATTTTTTCTCACCGGCGTTGAAGCCACTAAAAGGGAAGGGTGGAGGAGGAAAAGGTGGTCTTGCTCAAGGCCAGGTTAGCAATTTTCTCCTGGTTATCAATCCAACTCTTATGTTATATTAGTATATAACTAAATTTATCATGCTTTAAAATCTTAAATTTGAGCACTACATTGTCTCTGAGGATTCCATTTTCGGAGCAATATGCTTGCAACATTTGGGAAACCCCACAATAAATGAATATTGTAAATTTTCTTTCTAAAAATGTTTTGTATTTAATTTTAAGGCAAGCCCAACTATGTCATCAACAACATGAAGCATTGTGTTAATCAGTTGAACTATATAATATTATTAGAGGGAAAAAATATTGAAGATTAAAAAGGACTTACGTTTATTATGATCTGTTTTTTCATGCCCGATTGGTAAATGATCTCTCTCTCTCTCTCTCTTGCACAACATTAAGAATGGATGCTATGATTTGGTTTCGCATATGATAGTTACTTCTTCCACTGTATATTTGAGTTTGCCTGCGATCTTTGCAACCTTGGTGGTACACATGTAATTCTTTTGTATGTGATTTCAGGGCTCCGATATAACACATGTAGAGGATGCAATGGAAGTGGCAACATCCTTTGCGGCAATGAAATTGAGCTGATAAAAAAAATAGTTTAATATTTCAGTGTAGACTGGTGAAAGCATGGCGGTGATGGTTCAGTCCCAACATTTTGATGTTTTTTAATATATCACTTGAATGAAACAGCTGAGGAAATAACATTTGGTGCTACAGAAGCACGACTATGTTTTTTCTTTATTAGCCACAAACATTGTGTTACCAAAGAGAGAGGAGAAGTTTTTTCTTCTTAAAATATTGATATTTTTTTTGAAATGGCTGAAGTTTAGGATGTTGGTTTGCTTGACTATACTGTAAGAAGACATTGAATCATATAATTAATCTGATTGGGAGATGAACCCCTCATCTTATGAATCTTAACCTATTGGGATTTCTGCTCGATTGGTTGGTATGGTATGTTATGCACTCAGCTGTATGAATCTACTCAACGCTAGATTTCATCTCCTTTTTATATATATAGAGCATGCATATGTGAACTACTTTATCATATCTTCCAAGGTTCCATCAGCTTAGGCAAATAGTAATTTATTATAATAGGGTAAACCTCACCTCAAGTTTCAAAAATGACACCAACCTCCCCGTCAAGTTTACTTTTGAATTTCATTCACCCTTCTGTTAGTTGACTGTTAACAAAATAGGTTAATTTTATTGATATCATTTGTTTGTTTTATTTTAGTTCTCATTTTGCCCTTACTTTTTTATGTATTTGTGAACTCAGATGCCACATCCATCCATTTCTGGTTGGCAGTTCCTGTTTTTTTCACTTTTTGTTATTAGCTTCCGACCCTCCATTGCGGTGATATTCTCTTTGGTTACTTTGCTTGGGTTTCCACCCAAAGTGAAGTTTTGGATAGCTTCAGCTTCTGGTGGTTCTGCCATTTTTGTGCAGTCCTGGTTTCTTTTACATTATTCGGTTTCTTGTCTGCCTGGACATGTTGGTTTCAGGGTTCCATATATCTTTGGCCATGTTTGGGCAGATTAGGTTAGTTGGGGGATTAGCATTTTTAAAATTGTTAGTCTTGGGAATTCATTTGGATCTTATGTTTAGATTGACCAAAGATTATATGGAGGGATTAATAAAATTCTATCAATTTTGTAGCTTTTGCCAGTGTCTAGCCTCTTATGTCTGTCTAAATTTTAATATTCTTAAAACTGTCATGTATGTATGTTCTTTTATTATGAATGAAGTTTTTATTTTCGTCAATAAAACAAAAACAAATAATCTACATTCAAATGTTGCCTCACAGAATTCTTAACATAGAGTTTCCTCCACCTGCTACGAGAAGAAAAAAAGAAAAAAGTAATTTTTTTTTTTCACAAACTGTTGTTCCCTTTTCTTTTCCTTCATAAATCCAAGATCCAAACAGCCTTTAGTTGCAGGAGCATTACTCTCATTTTAAATGAAATGATAAACTACATATTTGTAATCTACCATTAAACCCAACACCAACAAAAGAGCATGTTCAACTGCACAACCATGCAGCCAATATATTTTCCCACACCACTAAGATATGATTAAATAACATTGATAATAATTTTTGTTCCAAATATTCTAGTCTACCCATCTCAACTCAAAGTACCTTGGTATTCACTAAAATAAAACTTCATGTCTGCCAAAGATCAACTTCACAAAACACGCACAAAGTTCATCTGGTGTTCAAATCGAACTCTCCCACTTCACGCCACTCATGTTGTATGCTTGTTTCTTCATTCTCTGTCTCTTCGTCATTCAAGAAATCCTCAGATGGTTCTTTCTCCTCTCTCTGTGTATTGTTTCCCCATCCGTTAATCATTTCATCAGCGTTAACTCCCTGCTCCTGCTCACCCACTTCATGACCACCAATTGCAGCAACATCACTGCCTTGAGACCCAAGTGCACTTCCTCGTATTGGAGCACGTGCCATAATTTCTGCATGAGCCTGTGACTCAGCTCGAGCTTGTTCCATCTGAGCCATGGCTGCCATCCGCAACTTAGCTTCATGAGCTTCTCGACCAACTTTCTCCCTTGACTCCATTTCTGCCCTCAGTTCAAACATGGCTCGTCTTTCTTCTTGTAGGAGAGCCTGCTCAATCATCAACCTCTCCTCTGATCTGAATTCCCCAAGAGCTCGCTTGCGCGAAATTATATTGAAGGCAAGTGCCTGTTTCTCAAACGTGGCTGTGAACTCTGCAACTTTGGCAGCAATGTTATGGTCCCACTGTTGAGAACGAGACAGCATCTGTCCTGTTGTGTCAGAATCAAGGATCCTATCATCCTCCTCAGCTTCATAATCTGCCACCACATGATAAGGTAGTAATCTGCACCGAAAAAAAAAATGGTGACAAAAATAAGGAAATTATTAAGTCTGAAAGTTAAGATGAACTCCCAAACTTCCCTGGCAAAATATTATAGTTACCAAGCAAGATCTTTCATTTTCAAATTTCCAAAAATTATTTGCACAAAAGAGGTTGAAATCAAATAATTAGTATTCTGTCACATGCCAAACAATACATGATGTTAAATATCCCACACCACTCGAGATTCTTTTTGTGAGAAACCATATTCTTCCTTGATGTAGCTAAGAATACATCCCATTACAACACATTAGTGGTTGGTCGGCGCTTGCCCAACTTGATGTGTCAAAATGTTGACAATCAGGGAATACACTGTTAGCACCACATTCAATAACGAAATTGAATGCAAGGGTATTTGTTACAGCAAAGAGCTTAGTGGACCTCATACCCAAAGCTTTAAAATGATAAAAATCCATTTCTGATACCGAAAACATTAAACTCGCTTTGGCCCAAACTATTAGTTCTTTCCAATTTGAGATGTCCCAAAATATAATCCTCTTTCAAAAGTCAAAACCTAATTTCTAAAATTTCCAAAATTATCCCCCTTATAAATAGTTACGATTTTACTTACAAGTGAGAATAAAGGGCAGTGTTGGAAAACAATACTTTTTATTTAAATTTGGGAGCATTGATTGCCTGTCCCCTTAAAAAAAGTTAAAAATCCTAAACAGACTAACATTGTGGGACAAAGGGAGTCTTATGATGCATTGTTCATCTCACGCAATGTCTCGATTGAGGGGTTTTGGGAGGGAAGTGAGGGTTATGGAGGGGAAAAAATATATTCATCTTATGTTGATTGTTTTTAAGAAGAGAAAAGGGAGAAGCATCAAGGGAGGTTGTGGGAAAAGAAAAGGTGCTACTTATGCTTATGAGAAAGTTTTTTAAGCTAAGGTTTTATTGAACTCATTCAAGCTCACCAAGTTCATAACTATTGTTACATTAAATAAAGTTCAAAGTCCACAAGCCATATGTTGTATCAAATCCAACCTCGAAGCATTTGCACTAATATCTATTAATTGTGAATGCCACTCTATAGAAGATTATGAAAATATGAGATTTGAGTTTGGATATGGCCAGGGATTAAACTAAAAAGTTTGACCAATCTAGAAGTTGATTACTTGGGAATACAGAAATTTAAGCAAGCTTAAAAATCAGCATCATGTGTTCTTTAGTATAATCTTAATTAAATGGGCAATTCCTCTTAATAGTCAAATTCTCTTTCTATGACGTCCAAAAAACCCTCAATTGCCGAGTTAATAATCCCAAGAATCACATATACAAAAGTGTCAATGAGCAACATTTCAACATAGTCGAGTTAATAACCCCAAGAAACGCAACAGAGTCGATTTTCATGCCTTCCTTTCTACTCTTGCCAAAACTTACTACACTCGAGTATGCATAAACTGTATTACCCGCACTGGGAGAATAACAAAATCAAAGCCCCACATCTCCGTAGCCATTCTTACAATATTATGCACATCTCTTTGCACATACAACACCAAGACCAAGTCACAAAATTTACAATGGAAAGAATTATCCATAGAATTTTGCACGAGTGGTTGTCCAAAAAAAAAAAAAAAAAAAAAACTCTACAATGGGCTTTAGAGCTCCAAATTCCTTTTCCAAGAAAAAGAAACACCCGAATTACCCTAAAAAGCATTATAGAATGATTTAACTTCAAATTTCCTAGGCTGGGGTCGTGGTTGATAATGCAATTTAGTGTTTCAAAATGAATACATTATGTGATCTTGCAAATAAGTGCATTGGTTAATGCATAAGGATCTATCACTTAAAATCTGAAAATTGATTGAAATGGGTCCCAAATCTAAGTCAATGAAACTTACGACTGAACCCTGAATATGTTCATTGGAAGGTGAATTTTATCTTCATTCTACAAATCTAAACATTCAGTACTTAAATGTTTCAAGACCAGAAATTCAGTGCTAAAACTTTCAGTATTTAATTTTCAATTTATCAAACACCACCTTGGACATATTCCAACTAGTATCATCTCCACACTCCCAACAACTATGTCATAAAGTGAGGAGAGCCTACAAGTTCTCAAACTCCCAATCCTGTAATGCATGTCTAAGAAATGCATCCCAAAACACCTAGCTCCCCTCTAAATGCAAGAAGAGATGGGAAAGCCATCCATAGTGCCTCCCGTCCAAAATCTCACCACTTCACGCCCCCATGAAGCATGGATATGAACATGATATGGATAAGTAAAGGGTTACGGCGATAGGAAAAAATCTAAAAAATTAGGATATGGGTATAGTCAAGATCTAAGTTACACGGACACGGATACGAGGATTGGGTACGGGTGCGTATCTAGGGGTCAGACACTTTAAAATTAAAAATTAAGAATATGTGGATATGTATCCAAATTTAGATACGGGTACGGGGATACGTTAAATATATATATATATATATATATCTTTTTTTTAAATATAATTATTAAGATGAGTTATATTATATAAATAACAAATAATTATTTTACATATATGTGTTTATTTATTTTTATTAATATATATAAGTATATACTACCTTATAAATATATTATATGTCATACAATAATTATTATATAATAAAAAAAAAAAAAAAAAACTCTAGAATGGGCTTTAGAGCTCCAAATTCCTTTTCCAAGAAAAAGAAACACCCGAATTAATGCAATTTAGTGTTTCAAAATGAATACATTATGTGATCTTGCAAATAAGTGCATTGGTTAATGCATAAGGATCTATCACTTAAAATCTGAAAATTGATTGAAATGGGTCTCAAATCTAAGTCAATGAAACTTACAACTGAACCCTGAATATGTTCATTGGAAGGTGAATTTTATCTTCATTCTACAAATCTAAACATTCAGTACTTAAATGTTTCAAGACCAGAAATTCAGTGCTAAAACTTTCAGTATTTAATTTTCAATTTATCAAACACCACCTTGGACATATTCCAACTAGTATCATCTCCACACTCCCAACAACTATGTCATAAAGTGAGGAGAGCCTACAAGTTCTCAAACTCCCAATCCTGTAATGCATGTCTAAGAAATGCATCCCAAAACACCTAGCTCCCCTCTAAATGCAAGAAGAGATGGGAAAGCCATCCATAGTGCCTCCCGTCCAAAATCTCACCACTTCACGCCCCCATGAAGCATGGATATGAACATGATATGGATAAGTATAGGGTTACGGCGATAGGAAAAAATCTAAAAAATTAGGATATGGGTATAGTCAAGATGCATCCGTGTAAAAAAAAAATAAAAAAATTAGTAGTATATTATTTATAAGCTCAAAGAAAGCTCTTTTAAAAATTTAAGGTCAAAATCATGTCTAAACTATTTATGCTGCCCCTGTGCTTTTCCGTTTCACAATTTATCATATACAAAAGTGTTGTACACAAGTCACTTTCTCGTTGAATTGTTGAACTGATATTATTTTCTTGTTTATCCTTCCTTTATGGATACGCATATACGACACATTTGACAGATGAAGGATACATCAATTTGATAATAAATTCTAAAAAAGTAGGACATAATTTTAATCTCACTATTTTTTTCTTCTCTAAGACGTGAGCAAAGTATTGAAAAAGTGATTATGTATTTATCTCAATAATTATACTATAATGCTATGCGAGGATAGTGACTATTTATCTTAATAATTATATTTTAATCTCACTATTTTTTTTTTTCTTCTCTAAGCATAGTGAGGTTGGAGACAATGCAATTCACAAAATCGAAGTAAGTTGGTTTAAGTGGAGGAGTGCATTTGGCATATTATATGATCGACAAATACCAACAAAATTGAAAGAAAGTTTGTATAGAACATCTATAAGACTAGAGGTTTTTTGAAGGACAGAATGTTGCGCAACTAAGAAACATGTGCACAAAATGAGTGTTGTCGAGATGACAATACTTACATGGATGTATAATAAGAATAGAAAAGATAGAATTATACTTAGACAAGACTACATTCGTGAAATGGTAAGAGTAGCACTTATTGAAGTTAAATTGAGAGAGAACATGATAAGATGGTTTGGTCATATAAAATGAAGACCTATACAACAATAAGGAAAAGTGATAGGATCACCATAAATGGAGATGCTACAGAGAGGGGAAGACCTGAGTTTTTATGGAATGCGGTAATGAAAAAAGGCAAGAATTTATTTAATTTAATTGAGCATATAGCCTTTGATAGAGTTTAATGGCGAGAAAGGATTTATGTAGCCAATCTCACTTGATTAGGATACAAGACTTAGTTTGGTTTAGTTAGGTTTATTTTAACGTTCAATCAATTTCTAGCTAGTTAATTGCCATTGTACTTCAATTTCTTGAATGCAATTCAAATTTCCTTTTACAGCACTTGTCTTGTTCCTTTTTCATTTCAACACCCAGGAGATTTTAAGTCCTCTTCACAGAGACAAGAAAAGAACCAAGTGGTTCTCACTCCTCGACAACACTCAATCTCTTGTTTTAGAAGTTAGATACTAACCACATTGGGCTGCACTCAATCCTGGCACGCTCAAGCATTCAGATCTGAGCCCAGAGATTTCTCCAGCGAGAAACATTAGTTTGAGGATGAAATATGAAAAAATGACAATAGTTTAGGGGGGAACAAGGGAAATTAATCCAATTTTAAATTAAACACTGAAGAATAAATAATGTTGGTGTCATTGATATACTACTGAGTGAGTGAGTGAGTGAGTGACTCTGTTTCCTAGTCTGTCAAGAGTCATGGAACAAAGCAATCAGTCTATGAGAGTTGTGCATGTAACAAAGTGATATCAAACTTGAGTTCCTGAAACATTGTGAGATGCATATGAGTATATTTCATATATTCGGAAGGTTGTTTCCTCATTTCTGCCCTATCAAATAATGCATTTAAATAATATATACATAATTACAGATATTGTCCTACATATATAACTTACGATTATGCATAACATTCTCCAATAATTTTTACAACAGACATTTGAATCGTAGAAAGAAGAAACAATTCAATTAAAGTGACAGTGAAAATGTAGATAAGCATAGACAAAGCCAACAAAAAAATAATGAATAAAATTGAGACTCTATTGATCTAGATTTAGATTTAGATTTAGATTTAGATTTAGATTAGAACAGAGTTTAGGAAAGAAAGAGAAGGGGAAGAAAGACCTCTCGCAAGCGTCTTCAAGGGAAGAGAAAGGGCGCTTGAAGTCAGGATGACAGACTCGCCAGGCATCCTGGTACGCCATCTGGAGCTCCGCCTGATTCACCGGGGGTCGAATTGCCTTCTGTTGCTGCTGCTGCTGCTGCTGTTGTTGTTGTGGATTTGAGTTAGGGTTTTGATTTTGCTGTTGATTAGGGATGGAATTGGAATTAGGGTTAGGGTTAGGGTTAGGGTTAGGAATGGGGGTTTGTTGTTGTTGTTGTTGTTGTTGTTGTTGGGGGTTGATGGAGCGGTGTTGTTGAAAGCCAGGAGGTCTGAGATGAGCGTCGATGTTGGAAGGAAAACGAGAGATAGCCGCTTGCTGCTGCTGCTGCTGTTGCTGTTGTTGTTGTTTCTGCAGTTGTTGGAAGATGAGGAGCTGTTGTTGCTGTTGTTGTTGCTGCATTTTGAGCCTTTTCCTCTTCCATCTCTCTCTCTGTCTCTCTCTCTCTCTCTCCCTAAATTTATCAATGTCGTTGGTTGGTTTGTTCAGCGAATTTTACTAACGATCCAGCGGTTTGGTGCTTATGTGATTTGGTTCTTGATATTGTAACGGTAATTTATTTGATTTTAAATCTTGTTTTAAATAAGAGTAATTAAAAATATTATTTGTTAATTTAATAAAATATAAATTAATTTGATAAAAATAAATATCAAAAATATATATATTTTTTAGGTATTTATTTTAATTTTATTTTACCAAATTAATTTTTATTATGTGTTTAGATGATGATCATGTAATGAGCGGTTATTTTTATTTTCATTAAATTAGTTTCTATTTTTTTAAAAGTCAAATATGAGAACAACTTTGATATCATTATTCATTAAATCAAAAAATTCAAAACTAAAAATATTTCATATATTAAATATATCGATTACACATTAAAATCTTAACAATCATCTATTACATGATCATCATCGAAGCACATAATAAAAATAAATGTCTAAAATATTTACTAATTTTACATAATTTTATGGGTAGAAATAATTTTTTAAAATCCAAAAATATTTTTTTGACATTTATTTTTATCAAATTAGTTTATATTTTATCAAATTGACAATTTTGCTCTTGAAATTAAGCAATTGTATCTTCAATTGTCTTTATTTAGAACAAAATTCAGGATCAAATGTGTCACAATTAAAAAGTCAAGGACCAAAATGACACGAGTCCCAAACTATAGGAATTATTAGTGTAATTCGCCCTTATTTGTTGCTTCGTTGATTCTCCTAAACCCTCACAACTGTTCATGAATAGGCTCAAAGTCCTTTGACAAGCGTTTGACTTCGAACTCGAATTCGACCTTGTTAATTAAAACATATTAAAATTTGGTTGGTTCATTAATTCGTTTGATATTCAGGGTTAAGCATCAATAAATTTAAAAAGATCTTAAAAATTGATTCGTCCTCACTTTTGTTTTTTGAACCCAAAAGTCCCAATCACACTGAATTTATGTAAAAACGAAATTGTCTTTATTAGTGGATTTTCACGGATGTGCAAAATTACGCATCTGGGCAAAAACGTGTACTAGAGAGGTTTTTGCTTTTTCCTTCCATGCTGAACGAAATCCACACTATGATTTTAGAAAGATTCACGTTGCAAATGTGACACTGGCCCGTTTGGTGTATCTGTTAAAACAGCTTATAGATTATAACTTAACAGATTATAGTTTATGACTTTAATCAGAAATTGTTAATCTGTTTGATGTACCTGTTGAATTATAGATTTAAGTTGCTGAGTAGTGTTTGTTAAACAAGCTGTGAAATAACTTTTTCAATTAATTTTTATTTATTGTTATTTACTACTTGTCTACATTTCTCATAAAAAATAATAATAATAATTTATAGTCCATTTGGGTTTTTTTTCTATTTTTACAAAAATAAAAAATAAAAAAATCTATGAGTGTAACCCTAAATTAACATGTCCACAGCAGAAACTGATAATCAGAAGCAAGGGGTGAGCAGCTTCTCAAAATCAGCTTTTTTGAGCTAAAAATAAGCTGTTAGAATCAGAAGCTGTTTGAAATAAGTTTAACCAAATAATCCAAAATAGCTTTTTCGTAGCTAAAAAGTATAAGTTAGCTTTGAAAAGCTAAAACAAACACCTCCATTGTTATTTTTCCCTTTCGAAATTAGTGGAGTTGTAAGTGAGATTGAGGGATTTTTGCTTCAAATTTTGGTGTTCGTGAGACGACGTTAGGATTCTAGTCTCACATTGTGGAATTGTGAGTGAATATCGAACGCATCCTAACGTCAAATTTGAGGAGGTTGAGTTGTTGTTAGGTTTGAAGGTTTGGGTGTAGTAGTGAACGTTTGATTTACGGCAATGAAACGGGAATGTATGAATTTCTACCTATTCGAGGGAGTCGTGATGTTTTAAGTCGTCATAAGGGTCGTATGTTGGCATGAATTCATAAATGTTTGTGTTGCATGCATGCTTTGTGATTTTGTGCCTGTTATGTATGTGTATTTGGTGTTTATGGTTTGTAGGGTTGGGGGTTCTTCGTTGTCCATAATGCCGACTGACATATTTGTTCCGTCAACAAATTTGTGTGTGCGTGACATTCAAAAAATAAAAATGATTCAGAACACCCGTTTATGACATCGTCTTGTTATGTTGTTGATGTTAGGGTTTGATGTTACAAATGTAAGTATTGTGTCTTCTGAAATGTTGCTACTTTTACAGTGTGGTGTAGACGTGGTAATGTTGATATCTAATTGTCACATAAAAAGAGACACAGACCTTTCCCTGCCTAATAAATTACCCAACTTTTTGGGGTTTGATTATAGGAGAAGCCATATGTGAACTAATGTCGTAGGGTGGTAACGTTAACATCAGAACTCAGTGAAAATTTGAACATTAACATCTAAAAATCGATGAAAATTTGACAATCACGAAAACAAAATGATTCGGAACACCCTTTTATGACGACATCGTCTATGTTGCTATAGCAATCCCAGTTTTTCCCCGTCATTTGTTGTATTCCGGGCTCGGATTCCGTGGTTGTATGTCGTTGTCTATACTTTATTTCCATCATTTATTCTTTGTATTTGAGTTGTGGGATATGTTGGGTAAGTTTAGAACAGGTTGGTTGTGAGTTGGAACAAATGGTTGCTGCCCAGGTTTTGGTTTCTTCGCTCGAGCGATGATTTTTGCGCTCGAGTGAGCCTTGGGTATTTGCTTTTTCGCTCGAGCAAGAATTCTTGCGCTCGAGCGAGCTTTGTATGGTGTGTCTCTTCGCTCGAGCGAGAACTCTTGCGCTCGAGCGTGTGTCTGTGTCTCTGTAAGACCTGAAGGTTGGTATTCTTTGCTCGAGTGAGCATTCTTGCGCTCGAGCGAGCCCTGTGTTATGTGTTCCTTCGCTTAAGCGAGAATTCTTGCGCTTGAGCGTGCTTCTGCATTGCAAACCTGAAGCTTTGCATTGTTCGCTCGAGCAAGGTTCTTTTGTGTCTGGTCGCTCGAGCGACAACTCCTTCGCTCGAGCGAGCCTCGCATATATTAGTTCGCAGCAGCGTGATTTTATATCACTTTTTTCCCTCTTCTTCATTTCAAAAACCCTAGCACAACAGCCTCTCTCTCCAAAATACCCTATCTCTCTGCAAATACTCTTGATTTAGAGTCTCTCTACCCTACTCTCTTTGTTAAAAAGCTTGAGAATTACATGGGCTATCTTTTGATCCGAAAAAAAGTTTGGATTTTGAGCATCTTGGGTTTCTCTCTTCTTCTCCTTTGAGCTTCTCCATTTGAGGTAGGGATAATCTACTCTTTAATATAAGTTTTGACATAGATATTTGTCATTTTGTATAAATGGTGGATTTGAGAAGTTTGGGTGAAGTTAGGGTTTGAGATTTGAAATGTTTGAAAGAGGGGTTTTCCATATTGGTTTCCCTATGGATGTGAGAGGTCTTGAACATGCTATTACTTGGGTATAATTAGTGAAAATTTGGTCTTGGGTACAATGTATGTTAAAGGGGGACAATGCCCTAATTTGAATTAAATAACTATTTTGTATAAATAGTGAAATAAATGTGAAAATATGAAATTGGTTTGAGAATCATGAAATTGGAGAAAATTGTGATTAGATGATGTAGTTGGATCAATGAATCACTCACCTATGAAAAATGTGATAAATTATCTATTGAGAAATTTATTTATTTTTTTAGATATATCTATTTTGGGCTATCGGTGGAGGATAGCCATGATTGTTGTAGAAACTGCATGATGATTAGGTGAATTGAAACTAATCAATTGGATTATGTCATTGAATATGACGGTTGTATATAAACATTGAATATGTGATTTAATTGGTCATTGTATATGACGACGTGTTAAATACATTGTATATGTATCTTGTTTAGGAGGAGATAGGGGATGTACTCCATTGTATGGGAGGAAATAGGGGATGGACTCCATTGATAATTAAGTTGGCCAGAGTGTTCAGGGTGAAAGTCCCGAAATCTTATATATATTTGGGTATCGGTTCCCTTGGACGTAGTTCCGTAAAATGGCAAGAAAATGAAAGCGTTTGAATGATGTTTATGATTGAAGTGTTATTAATATGAGTTGTAGTCTCATCTTGAATTGTTTGGGTAATAATGATCTATGTTAATGAATTGGTTTGAATAAATAAATGGAAGTGGATTGGAATATGGATGTGAATGTTGATTGGTTATGGAAAGGATGTACGTAGTTTACATGTGTTAAACATTTATCGGATGATAATGTTTCAGTTAATTCTCATATACTGTTTAGCATATCTCTATTGCGCATTGGCTCACCCTACTTGGGACACCATTTTTCAAGTACAGGTGATATGTCGCCTCCAAGATCTTAGTTTGAGAGGTTTAGGAGTTGAAGACTCCGTCTTGTTATTTAATTTTGTGTTAAATGTAAATCCAAGCTGAGGGCTTTTTATGTATAGAGTTAGAACTCTTCTTTTGTTGTAACCAAGTGATAACTTGGAAAGTTGTAAGCCCATAAGACATTTACCTTGTTGCTAGCATGTAATATCTTATGTAAAGAAGACTCTGATGAATAAAAATATAACATTCTCTTCTATGTTTATGGATTATACGAATGGTTGTCTTATATTGTATTTTGAGGGCATTACAGTTGCTGATACGAGGGTGTGATGTGCTCACATTAAAACTTTTGGTTGCGTTTGGTAGAGTTTTGTAAATATGATTTAAAAATATGAATTATATTTTGAGTTTGTGAGTTTTTGAATTATGAATTGAGTGTAGAAAATTTGTTTGGTGAAAGAGTTTTGAAAAGAGTTTTTGAATTGAGTGTTGTGACATAATTTTTATACAAAAACTTACAACTCATAACCAAACACAATCCAAAATTCTATTCAAAACTCATAAAAAAAATTAAAAATATTTTTTATTTAACATATAAAAATAACAAGTGCAAAAAAAAATAAAAATAAAAAATATAAAAAAATCAAGAACACTGTTCCGGTCAATCGGCCGAACGTTCGGGGGAACATCCGGGCACACTATTTTTCAAAAGCATGTGTGGAAATATATTTTGAAAACCGTAAACAAACACCGCACTCGAACTTGAGTGTAGAATCATGATTTAAAAGCTGTACCAAACACAGCCTTTGTCTTTGAAAATGTTAGTACTTTACAATGTGGTGTGGACGTGGTGATGTTGATATGCCATTGTCACATTTAAAATAGGCACACACCTTCCCTTAGCTAATAAAGTAACTAGCTTTTGGAGTTTGATTATGGGAGGATCAATATGTGAACTAATCTCGTAGGGTGAGTACGTTAACATCAGAACTCGGTGAAAATTTGACACTAAAAAAAAACTATATTGTTTGAAACCATTTTTTGTATGATGTTGTCAATTATGTTGTTGATGTTGGACGTTAATGATTTTGTTTTCTAAAATATTAACATACACATTGTGATGCAGGCGAGGTAAATGTTGACATCTCATTGTCACATCCAAATAGTCACGCACCTTTCCTTGCCTAATAAACTTTCAGGGTATGATTGTGGGAGGCTGACATTGTTATCTCACTGCTGCCACCGGACACATTAGAAAGGTCTGTTTTAATTGGAAATGCATATATTTGAAATTATGTGTGCGTTGTTTTCCAGTGAGCTTCATGGGTTGTTCTGTTTTTGTGTGGTTTCTACAATGTGGCGTACTGATATGATGATGTTAAAAACACAATGTTTTATGTGTTTTAATAAATTTTCAATGTGGGTTGCAATGTTTGTGCTGGTGCTTTGTTTTGATCACGTTTGGTTGGGATGCTTTGTTAACGAATTGTTCCTCTTGAATCAGGTAGTGCATGACAAAAGACTCTCTAAAGGAGGTCCGGTGGGAAGAAACACGACACGAGGTTGGTAGTAACCATGTCAACGAAATTGGCTATAAGAAGGCAAAGTAAACTACCGTTCAAGAAGAAAAAGCCAGGGAGTGGCACTGTAAAAAGAGTGATTGTTAATCCATCGAGACTTATGTACCATTCAAATGTCGTTGGGTTCATAAAAAATAACACGACATTTCCGAACACACTATCCATCGGCGACGT